TTTCAACAAACATCGGCTTAAAGAATTCTGGACTGTTCAACTTTCTCTAATGCTTTTTGAGATAAAGGATGCCTGTGGACTAATCCAATGAGGACAATAAAAAATTTCCGCATTTAATAAAATTAAAGCATTTTGTAAATATTTTAATAGAAAAAATGGACAAAAAGGACTGTCATCATTGCAGTGAAAATATTGGAATTATCAATTTTCCATTGACTTACTTGGATAAGTTGGACTTTCATTATTATAAACGTTTAATTCAGTTTTTGGAGGAAGCAGCATATTTTATTTTCTCTCCCCCCCTCCAAAAGTAAACATACTCTTTCGCCATCTGGTGGCCAAAGACAGCATGTCCCATGTTGAAAACCGTTGAACTCCGATTTAGCCAGTTATGTTTAATGCTTTCTGACCCATCTTACTGTAAAGATATGCATATTTTTTAACCAATATAAATATAACTGAGGCAATGTTGTTCGAATGGTTCACAGTAGTTTCTTCAAACAATTCTAGCTGTTAATATTTAATGAGAGATAAAAAAAATAAACCAAATCAATTGGTTTAAGAAACAATTTTGAAAGTTAATTCATTTGGAAAGTTAAAATTAAAGATGGTAGTTAACAATTTGACTGAATGTCTTTCGGCATAAAGAATTAACAAGATCTTTATGAAAACAAGGTCCAAATATATTTTTAAATGATAAGCACAGTAGATACTGTGGATTCAAACAGGTTTCAGTTTTTGACAGTTTTAACAGTAGTTATAACTGTATGTTGGCAATTTACCAAGCCAGAAAGGGTAGATAACTTAATAGTGTGTTTTTCTTCCTCCTTATAGTTTTTAAGTGAAATTTCCAATGTATTTATTGACACATTGTAACTACATTTCATAAAAAAATTAAAAATGACAATTATTTACTGTTGAATTTCTTTATTTTCTCCAGAATATTTTAATATTGAAACCCAAATTGTTACTTTGAGAAAGGGAAAAACAGAGAAACATGAAGAGACAAACATTTCATTTCATTTAACTTATGGTATTGTGAGCAGTCACTTTTGTAGGCAACACTTTTTTTCGTTGTAGAAAAGAAATAAAAAACAAACAGCACCATTAAAGAATGCATGATCCCTGAATTCTAAACAAAACACTGTCTAAAAATTGTTTAAATGCTTGTTGCACTCAGTCACATTTAGTCAGGTATCAAAGCAAGCATAACAGTATTAAATTGTAGCAGTCTTACTGACTCAACTACTCTCCCTTCTGAGGATTTTAAACACCTTTTCTGAGTTTTTCCTGTGGGAACAATATATTCTTTGGTAGAGGACTGAAGGAGGGTTTTACTTTTCTGTGTGCTGATAGAAAATGTCTGTATGTTCAGGGCCTTCGCCCCCAATCTGTGTTTGTCATGCATGTTATGTTTGGGTTGATTTCACATTTTGCTGTTACACTGTAGGAGTAATACTGCCTTTTTTTTTTTTTTAAAGGCATTAAATGGCTAATGTCAAACAGATGTAAACATTCAGAATACTGACCAAAAAAAAAAAAAAAACACATACACACAAACATACATTAAAAAAAAAACAAACTACTGTACTGAAAATATGAATCGGATTAGGTTTCCAGGAAGCAGGAGAAATACAGCAGTACAAGAAAATTATGGCAACCAAGTAAAGCACTTTTCTTTGAAACATTCATGAACAGTACAAATACAACAAAGTTTTTCTACAGTCTAAATTATTCTGCAACTATCAAATATAGTACAAAGCGAAATAGTATGTGCTATAAAAAAGCAGCTCCTTTAAATTATAGTAAAAATGCTTTCTGTTCGCTTTACAGTGACAAAGCATGAGGACTGAAGAGTTTTTATATTCAGTGACATTTTGGCTACATAGGCCCCTGACAGTCTGATGAGTTCCTTTACTAGGACTCTTCACATTGTTCTCTAGAAACACAGAAAGACAGTGACTCTGGGCTCTGCATGCTCGGTGGGCTCCTTCCCACCAGGCAGCTAGCGCGGCGCTGGCTTCCACGCCGGAGACAGGATCCAACCCTAAGTTAAGCCTGGCTTCGGCTTCTCTACCCTGGCGCCTCACCAGACCGAGGAGGAACTGGAAAACCAAGGCCACGGTAACTTCCTCTTTTGGAATTGAGCGAGGGTTTAAAAATGGGGCTGCGGCGTCAGGTATTCAGACTCTCGACTGCGTTACGGAGCACCATATGCACCAGCCTGTTGGGTTTTGAACGCTTAATTTGAACGACTAAGAACATCCGAGGTCTAGAAATCACCTAAACCTGCTATATAGCTCATCCCAGAAACACATACCATCATAAAGTCTTTGTAGCAACCAGGCTCAACCTCAGAGGTTTGTTTTCAAGTTTTTTCCTTCAAACTAGACCTTAGCAGAGAAATATTTTATATATATATATATATATATATATATATATATATATATATATATAACTGTGGTGCTCTCGGTTCACCAACATTTCTGCTATTCTCACTTTGGGGAAGGAAACTTATTTTCATTTTGAAAATGAATTTGCATCAGAACGTTGTTATTAACATGCCCATTATCTACCTAAATGTTTTTACACACTTCAGGCATATGCATATCATAGAGGAAGGGGATTCGGGAATAGCCGTTTTCTTCCTTCCCCTGCTCCAAAAGTGCTACTTAGGGAAATACATCCTTTGTGATTAAAAAACAAAAAAATTACATGTTACATGTGCAAGTTCTATTCCTGATAGGGATATCATAGTGTCCAATAATCAGGATAATGCACACACTAACATTTGCACATCACACCACAATAACCATGTAGTAACATACTACCTTTGCACATAGGCAGACACCTGTGGAAATCGGGAAACTAGGAACCTACTTATCTAATCCATACATACTGGCTTTTGTATATATTTATTAAGTGGACACTTACAAAATATCTGACCCACGTTTTACTTCTGAATTTTTCTTTCCATTAGTATGTCGGCCCAAAGATACCTGCTTTTCAGTAATAAAAGACATATGCGAACACTGGGAATTTAAACTGAGGCGGCTAAAAGAAAGGGCACAGAAAAAACACCCTCTTTGGACCTGGGTGACAGAATCCATGCCCGATCAACAATCGATTCTCCGAAATTATGTGAAAAATCCCCCGCTGTGTGAAAAATCAAAATATACAGAAGGACACTTTTTCTTTATTCCCAGTAAGTAACTTGCAGGCAGTATTCCACAAAGATGGAACTGATAATGAGCTCAGCATCGCTTCAGGCTCAACTGTACCTCATATACAGAGTGCAAAGCTTTGTAGAACGAAGTGTCTTTCAACACCGTGCCAGTTACTGATGTAGTAATTTTGAATCTGCTGGTGTGGACAGTACCTGACACCGGAAGAGCGGCAACTGGATGTGGAAGGAGGTGGCATGCAAGGGTCTCCGTGTCTCCGTTTTAGGGATGCCCTTCGGTGAGACTAGAGCATACTTTTCTGAACCAAGAAGCTACTGAGCAGCCCACAGAGAGGCGCCCCCCGCCCCCAAACCCAACCTGCTGCGGAGTGAACTACATAAGGATCCACAGGAACTTACCCTGCCTTCCTTGGGACGGGCTGGTTAAGTGCACCAGCTAATTTCTCAGTCACAAAACCTTGTTACTTTCAGTGTGGAAAAACAGAAGCAAAAGGAAGCACCAAATCTCGGTCACAGAGGCATGCCCTTCTTTGCTTTTCTTTCTTTTCAAGTATCTTTCACTATTAGCAATTTCTTAATAAACATGATGTCTGCATCACCTAACAAAATTTGGCAACATCACAATAATAAACATGGAGGAAAAAATACATATACCATGGTGGATTACTATTAAAAAAAAAAAAAAATCACAAGTGTTGTTCCCTCCCCCCCGCCCCCAGGAATGTAATCTCTGCTCCTTCCAGGTAATTTTTAAGACATGTTTTAAGGGAATGTCCGAAGTTTACATTGCTGTGAAAATGTCTGTCGTTCTTACTCTGGATACAGATGATTCCCCCCCCCACCCCCACGTTTTGTTTCGTTTTTTAATTCTATGGCCACAGTCAGTGGGTTAATGGCACTCCACATTTTGTGCTCTGTAATCTGAAGTCAAATGGGCGTGGTTTTTACGGCCTTTCATCTTCCCACATTGTGCATGTGCTTTTGAACTTGCTTTAGGGAACAGAGCCTGCTGACCTACAGCTGTTCTCTGGCATGAGGGTGACCAAAGTATGTGGAACGTAGCTCCAATCCTCAACACTCAGACTTCACTGGATAAACACTGAAGATTTTTGTAAGATGCAGTATCCCATTTTCAAAAGCAGTTCCACTCCCCCAAATATGAAGAATGTATTGAATTCACCTGAGGGGGGGAACCCCAAAACATGCAATAACTAGAAGTTGTTTTTTTTTTAAATAAGGGCTATTTCCGAGTCAAATATATAGATTGCGTATCATGAGAAAAACATTGTTCAGAAATATATTAACACGTCAGTCTTCGGCAGTTCCTTTTTGTCATCAATGACACTTTAAAACAGAGGTGGTCAACCTCTGCAGAGTCAGAAGCCGGACTGTACCGGTGTCATCCATAAAGGACTACAATTATTTCGGGCCCCCCCCCCTCCATTTTAATATCTAGTAATTGTCTTTAGAGTGAACAGAACGGACCACTATCAACCCATTTGGATGTGTTTGCATACATAGCGTTTTATTTCCTTACTTTTAATTTTAGGGTATTTTTTTGTTCATACTTGCTCTTAAAAGCTACGCACGATGCTCTGAATCCCTACGGCCCTATGGCCCTCTGTTGGTCAACTCATCTGACAGTATCACGTATCAAAGGGCTCGAACCAGATTACTGGGCATGAGGCCCACACTGCAGTTTCAGGTAGAAGACACATTTCACTACAATGTGTGCACAATGTCCAATGCAGATCCAGACATTCTGCCAGTCTCTGAAAAGAGTAACGAGGGAGGGAAGAGAATAAGGACAGTGGAGTTCATGAACGGCATACCTCCTTTAATGTATCTTTTGAGATATGAGCAAATACAAGGAATCAGACATTTAAATAAGATTCCCCTTTCCAAATACGATTGAACCACTGTGGTAAAGGTAGGTCCAGAAGAGTCAATTCTGAAAACCCTCGTTGCAATGGTTAGTCTACAGGAGAATGAATAACCAACCACCTTAAATCACTTTTTCCGTTCTCTTTCTACATCTGCATTTCTGGTTAGCAGTAAGTAATTAAAAATGTCCTTTCCCTAACTACACCTGGATTAAAAATAATAATAATAATAATAATAATAACGAATGGGGTAGTGACCTGTATACACATGGACAGAGATTTTCCAAAGCTGGGAATGGCAACTTAATCTGTAAAAGACATGCTGCTAAGCCCCTCGGCTGGGACGCGACCTCCCCTTTCTGGGAAATGCAAGTAAATAATCCCAGAGAGAAAAGATAATCTGTTCCAAAGTAAAATAAATTATCACGATATAAACCACTGAGTTACTCAACTTGTTGCTGCTGATGCCGTTTGGCTTTTCCGTGCTGAAAAGGGATACTGCATCTCTCACCAGCTCTTACCGCACCACCAGGCAAGCCACACAGAGTTTGGAGGGACCTATGCAGTCGTCGTGGCAGAAGGCCCCACAGCCTTTGCACACGATCATGGCTTTCAGCCGGCAAGAGCATTTCAGTTCCAACTCCTCCGCGTTGCTGCTGTCGGCAAAGTTCTGCACGGGCATCTGAGCATTCTGACCGGGCAGGCCCGCGGCAGGGCCGGAGCCGCTTCCCAAAATCCCGATGGACTTCTCAATCGCAGATGCCGCCCTTTTGAAGCTTGTGCTACCAAAGTGGATTGTTGGATAATTTCCACAGAGCTGCTGTTGTTGCTGCACCTGCATTTTCTGAGCAGCTAATTGGGTAAAAGGCTTTTGTGGCTCAGAAAGCAAATAGGAAGAGAAATCTGCATTTTTTAGCGCAAATGCTTTTAACTGTTCTTTCATTTCATTCTGGTCATAGGAAACTTGTTTCATGCCCAGTTCACAGCTGCTGCTTAAACCTTCCTCAAAAGAAAGAGGTTCCGATTTTATATTGCTACATATGCCCGTGGACTGTGGCCAACTAAGTCTCTTAGTGGTTTCCATGGTAACTGGCGGTTGCTTTTGATCGGATGGGACTTCTGCGTTAGGAAGAGGTGGAGGTAGTGGAGGTGGCGGTGGGGGGGGCGGGGGCAAAGCCAAGGGTGGAGGGGGGGGAGGGGGAGGGGGTGGGGGATGCACCAGTGCTTTGTTTGGCAGTGCGTGCACGGCCCCTCCCACGTCATCGCCTTCTTTGACGGGCATGTTGGGGGATATCATGTTGGCTAACCTTAGCTGGTGAGGTGCTGAGGAAAGGCCAACCTCTCCCAGGCCCTTTTGTTCGAGATGCCTGTTGAAGGCAAATGCGTTACAGCCCACTGGGGTCTTGGCAGAGGCCTGTAACAGCGCCGCGCTAGGGATGGGGCCCCGGGCAGCCACGGGCATTTGGTAAAACTGCTGTCGGTGTGAGGTACCCGCATCGGGGTGGAAGCTGCCATTCTTGTCGACGTGAAACAGGTTCTGCTGGAAGCTACAGGAAGGGAGCAGCCGCTTTTGCTGTTTGACCTCGGGGCTGTGAACAATTCGGTTCTGCATGGAGTGCTTGTTCAGCCACTCTTGCTTAAATGGCTGGCCGTGTCCTAGCTGGTTCATGCCCGAGTTGATGACACAAGGCACCCCTTTAACATCCGGCTCCACCAACAACTTCCCTGGCTCACATTTAACTTGTGTGTGTTCCCCCACCGTCCTGGCGACTCTCTTTTTGGGGTGGTTTTCTCGTTTTCTCATTTGCAGTGGTGCAAGGGTCCCTGCCAGGTAGCCCTTCCCGTCTGGGTTTGGAGAGCTGGATGGCATTTCTACAATGTTCCTCTCTGGTGCTGTTTTACCCGCTGAGGTAGTTTGAAGAGGCAGAGGAAGCCTGTTAATTTCGAGCTTGGCTCCCAGTCTGGGCTGAGGCAACACTTTCTCCAAAGGCAGGTTGCCCTGGAGTAGCTGTGTCACCAGTGGATTGTTAGCCTCCACGGATGAGAGACGGCAGCCGGAGCTCCCTGCGCTGGGGACTCTTTTCAGGGGGTCTGCAGCCAAGGAGATGGCCTCCTCCATGGGGCCAGAGGTGGGGGGCTTCACGTTCTGTGCCTGCTGCACACTAGGGGTGACCTCTGTGGCCGGAGGAGGCAACTCGGGGCCGGGGAAGTCTTCGGTGTCCATTCTAAAGCCCTTGTCCACTTCGTGAGGTTCAGACTTCACTGGGAGAGGGACATTTGTCATGAGATTCCTGGGGTGAAGTTCTGACATGTGTGAGTAGCCGGCATGCTCGGTTTTGATAGCCTTGGGACAGCCCTGCTCCAGATAGTCTTTCTGCTTACTTGAGCTGGAGTGACTAACCAGGGGCTGTCCTGGGCCCCTCATCCCCTCCTCGTTCCAGCAAATCCGGTTGCCTGGGTTATACTGATTGCTACAGGTCGTGTCTGCTTCACTTTTGAAAGTGGCCGAGCCACGTGCCTGCTCAGCAAAGCTATTACTAGGAGCAGTCGCTTCATTTAATTTATCTGGGACAACAAGGGGTCCTTCTCGGAGACCTGAGCAGGCCGCCTGCATCGTTTTACAGTCTTGCTTTGCTGCGGGAGCAGCAAGGAAACTAGAAGTGTGATCCACGCCTTCGTTTGCAACTGGCTCAGGCCTGCTAATGACAGATACCTGAGGACACGCCATGGGCTGGACGGAGGCTTCTGTCCTCACTGACCTGCTCTGGAGGTCCAGGCTGGCTTCAGCACTTTCGACGGAGACGGTCAGGGACAGCGTGGAGGTCAGCGTGGTGCTGTGGTCAACGATGACTTTACATGGAATCGATCTGTTTATGGCTGCTGGTGCAAAGCCCCCCGGAGGCTGCTGAGGTTTCCCAGAATTGTCTGCCCTGTTTCGAAGCCCTGAATTTTTGTCCAAGCTCTCAGCACTCATCTTGGGAGGACTCTCGTAAGAGTTTATTGTTAGCATGCTTCCGGTAAACATTGCGACAGGTGGACGTGCAGCCAGAGTGTCTGTGACTGCTACGGAATCCCTGCAGCTGAGGGCGGCTCTCACAGTGGTACCCATGGGTCCGGTGGCCTGTTCTTCACTCCCAGGCATGGCTATCTTCTCAGAAGGAAATCTGTTGTTAATTCCCGTTGGGGGAATCAAGACAGAGCTAGTGGAGAGATGGTTGGGCAAGTTATTTCCAATGGAGGGAGTTGGCACAGAGGTGTACTGACTGGAGACTAAGTTATTAGCACTGCTGCTGGACAGTAGCGCCTGCTTGTCATCCATGGGGCTCGATACACTGCAGCCCTCTGTCGTGAGGGGGACAGGAGTGCTTTCAATACATTTTGGTATAATGGCTATGCACGGAGTGTCAGTTCCCTGGATGGTTTTTAACATGCTTCTATTACAAGCGGAAATCGTAGTGTTTGCACTGTCAACAGACATTAGAACAGAGGATTTATCAACAGAACTCACAAAGGGATGTTCTTTAATTGCTCCCGACATAGCAGTGCTGCAAACAGACACGGGGACAGAATTTTTATTAAAAAGCATGGGCACACTGCTATTTTCAGAAGAGGTAGATAAAACAATTTTCTCAGATAAGTGCGACACAGGTATATTTTCGTCAGAGCTGTGCACAGATAAGTCAGTGGCAGTTTCTGGAAGTTTAGCTGGGGTAAGAGACTGCTGTAATACAGTGGTGGTCTCCCGGAGGTGCGCTGACTTGTTGCTAGGAGATCTGCAGTTTGGATTGACAATAATCACACCAGTGGACCCTTCGATTTTTGTTTCAGGTGTAGAAGAGACTTCTAAGCTTGGAGGCCCATCCTTTGAGCTGAGCGCAGGCAACCGGGACTCTTTAGTGTTCTGGAAGAGGTGGGCTCGGGCTTGATGCTTTGCAAAGAGCTTCGCCTTTGTCTGCTCTTTGATATGTGCCAGGGTTCTCGCCTTTCCACCCTCTCCTGGGCTCCCCATAGCTCCTGAGACGATGCTCGCCGCCGCGGCCACAGCAGCAGCTGCCGCTGCCTCTCGCTGGGCCCTTGCCTGCTGGGCCCGGGCCTTGATATCCGCAAGGGTCCTGGCTCCTGTGTTCCTCCCACTGCCGACCGACGTGCTAGGGGATGCGCGAGACTCCGTTTTGGAGACTGGCTGGCTCTTGATAATAAAAGGTGGCCCAATTTTGGAAAGCTGGATCTACAGGAAGGGAGAATGGAAAGATAAAGCGCTCGGTACATGATCACAAAGGAGGCATGAGGAACGTGATAATGCAAGAGGAAAGAGGAGCTGCATTCTCTCATAATGTGGCATGAACTACACCTAAATCCCCAAACGGCCTTTTGTGTATAAAGCTACAATAAATGTAGCATGAACGTGAAATTAAAATTTCTAATCTCTGTTTTTCATCTACAGAAACATCAACTGGTGGCTTCATTTGGTATGGAAATGAAACATCTTCTTAATGCCTCATATAAATGGAAACAAAATCCATGCTTTTTAAAATGAGGTTAGCTAAAAAAGACTTAGAGATATTTAGCTTTTAAATTATCTTCCTTGCTGGCATAGCAAACTAGGACCTTAACTCTACATGGTTAAGAGTTTCTCTCTTAATTTCACACAGAGAAAAAAGCCTTTAGCCAAGAGGTCAGGAGACTAGAATTCTCATCCTGGCTTCACTCAAAGGAAATCCGTGACCTTAGGCAACTCACCGTATAACTCAGTTTCTCCAATGACCTCCCTGAGCCAGAGACCCCGTGGTTTTTACATACTCCCACACCACCTAGCATGCTGCCCCATACATTTGTAATGAGCACACAATAAGAGTTTGTAAACTCGGGACGCCTGGGTGGCTTAGTCGGTTAAGCGTCCGACTTTCGCTTAGGTCATGATCTCGCGGTTCGTGGGTTCGAGCCCCGCGTCGAGCTCTGTGCTGACTGCCAGCTCAGAGCCTGGAGCCTGTTTCGGTCTGTGACTCCCTCTCTCTCTGACCCTCCCCTGCTCACACTGTCTCTCTCTCTCTCTCTCCTAGAAATGAATAAAAATATTTTAAAAAAAAAGTTTGTAAACTCACTTGTAAAATGAGACTAGTTATTTCTGGTCTATTTCCTTCACAGGGCTCTTATAAAGATGGAATGAGACTATACTGGTGTGAGTGCTCTGCTTTCCAAAGGGATTTCATAGCATTATCTTTTCATGAAAGCAAGAGCAACTCTGGTTTTCTGCCTTAGAGGCAGAAAGGCAACTCTGGGTTGGGCAGTTTCTTCTGATACTGGCAATCTGCAATTTGCTGAATTTCATAAATATCCCAACCCACAGTGACCACCTACTCATGCTAATGAAAGAGACTCAGTCATCACCAAATTCACGAGGCACAGGACCTAACACTCAAGATCCCATAGCATTGCCTGTAATGCACTGGTCACTAAAAATATCCTTAGACTCACAGATTTGTAGAGCTGGAAGGGTTCTGATTAAAGCACCTCATTGTACAGTTGAAAAATCTTGACACTGTGGAGGGAAAGTAGGCTGCCCTGGGGTCATATAGGGAATGACAGTGAGTCTTCGGGCTCCCATTCAGGGATGTTGACAGGTACTGTGCTTCCCTCGTTTTCCTCTCTCTAGACAAGGCTTTTCCTAGAACACTTATCTCTCTTCTTAACACATGTATATTTATACTATAAACCCCTGACATGTACCATAGGATTCTATCAGTTCCGAATTATGCTTTGGAACTTTGGTAGAATCAATTATCTTACTGAGCTATCTTATTTCTCATGTTCCACCTTGTGAGGTCTCTCTTCTAATCCAAAGGCTCCAAAGGAAAAATGAATTAAGAGAGGAGATTTGGTTTTTCCTTTAAAATATTTCCTTTAGGGGCGCCTGGGTGGCTTAGTCGGCTAAGCGTCTGACTTTTCACTTAGGTCATGATCTCGCGGTTCATGGGTTCGAGCCCCGCGTTGGGCTCTGTGCTGACTGCCAGCTCAGAGCCTGGAGCCTGTTTCAGTCTGTGACTCCCTCTCTCTCTGACCCTCCCCTGCTCACGCTCTCTCTCTCTCCTAGAAATAAATAAAAAACATTAAAAAAATTTAAAAAATAAAATATTTCCTTTAGTTATAAAAAAACCAACCTAAAGACATTAAAAAAATTATGCCTGGATATACTGAAGAACTCAAGGTTGAACAAACATCAAATATTCTTATAGTATCTATCTTTACAAAGTATATATTACATTGAAAACAAACTTTTGATAAGAAAAATTAGTCTGCTATATTTAAAAATATTTCCTATGACAAGTATGCCTATATTTTTTCCCAATGCTTCAGAAATTAAAATGCAAAGTGGAGTTTTAATTACCGCTGAATGTTCATCTTTCACATCTCTAGAATCTTATTTAATAGAGGTTACTTTATTAAATAGAATAGCTACCGCTACCCTCTTAGAAGTCAGCCTTATGGATATCATGAGTCACACACAAAAAATAGATGTCAGATTAGAACAAAATAAAGAGAAAGAGATTAAGAGAAACAAAGCTAGAATATGTTTATAATTCTAGACCAAACCTATAGTGTGATAACCATTTTATTGTAAGACAATATAAATGGACTGAGATGAAAGCATCAAATAAATATAGATAATATTGAGTAGGATTTTTTTATTATTATTAAACAGAGTGTTTCTTTTGAATTAATGTCAATTTTCAGTTTACTTAGGCAGAGTCAATTTATATAAAAGGCTTGTTTTCTCTGAGTTAAAACCCACCTGGGATCAAAAGAAAATATATAAATAGGAATGTCTGACGACAGGCTCTATTATTTGTAAAGTTAAATACCTGTTTACTATCTTGAAAAAAAAAAGAAATAAAATAGGATCTGTTTACCTACATATCTACAGCATTTTCCCTCAGGATGTATAAAGCAATTTCATTGATTTATTCAAGAAATATTTAATGAGGCTCTTCCATAAGTCAGGTCCTTTCTGCTAGGCAATGGTGGTGGGTCAATGTTTGCTGGAAAATAACTAAACCGATTACCTGTACCTTCACCTCTTTAGTGCACGCCTCTGACTTTTGACTACCTTCCCTAGCCCTACTGGACTTTTCTAGGACATTGAACTATCTTTCAACTTTCCCCAAGTGTATGTAGGTCTCTGTCCTACACCCTGAAGTCCCCGAAAGACCCTGTATCTTTTGGCCTATAGGCTCCTTCAGGCACTGTTCTCCCTCCTCATTTCTTTTTCCTTAAATGCTGAGATCTAAATATATATATGTGTATCTAAACTTATCATACGAGCTCAGGGCACAGCCTTAAAAAAGATCATTTAATATTAGACTGGTGTTGGAGTATTAGACTGTAAACTGCTCCATAAAGCCTGGAGGGAAGAGAACCTTATTTAAAATGTGAAAACTAAGCATCTAAGTAGGAAAAGCCTATCTATGGAATTGCGTCTGTTGTTATTATTATTAGTCTGTACCTTGAGAGGTGGAACCCTGGGCTCCTCTCTGGGGGGCTGCTCCTTCTCAGGGGGGCTGCTGGACGATAAGTTCCGCACCGACTGGTCATCTTCTATCCTAGCCCTCTTTTCCTTACAGATTCCGAAACTGTGCTGCTCTGCAGTTTTCCTCTTTGATATCTCGGATTCTCTACTTTCATTTCTTATCCCATCGGGTGACTTGGAGGGCTCTGACAACTTGGAAGAATGCAAGGTCTCCAACCGGTTCTGTGAGCTCCCTTGCTTATGTGTTTTATTTCTAGAGCCTTCTGAAAATGAAGCCTTATCCACTGATGAAACATACTGTTTGTCCTGTAATTTAGCTGATGGAAGCTCATTTCCCTTACTCTCTGTCTCTTCAGAAAAGACAGGTAACTCCAACGGCGAAGATGCCCCCTTCTTCTCTGTTCTTTGTAGGACATTATGATTTTTAACTTTTATCATTTCTATAGAAGGAAGTTCTGGAATCGAAGCAGGGTAGGGCTTCTCAGTTTCAATGTGTAATTTACAAGGCTGCTGATTCAGAGTCTTGCTGTGCAATTCTTCGCATGGAAATGCTTCAGGAGCAATGGAAGAACCCATTTTGATGGGTTCAGGAGCATCTGATAGAGTCTTCTGTTGAGAGAGAAGGCCCTCACCCAGGGGCTTGGCAGGGGCAGAACCTTCATCTTTTTGTGGGGAGAGTGGTTCTTCAGAGATGGAAGGGGACTTTCTTTGCTGATGCACCATTCTGTCATTCATGGAAGAATTAGAAATTGGAGAGGTTTCTGAAGGAAGTGGCAAACTAGATATAAAAGTGGTCTCAGATGTGAGAAGCATGGAAGACACTGAAGACGTTTCTGATGTCAAAGGTAAATCCGACATGGGTGATGTTTCTGATGTTAATGGTAAATTTGATACCGGGGATGCTTCAGACGTTAAAGGTAAATTGGACATGAGAGATGCCTCTGATATTTCAGGTGAAGTGGATACTGGAGAGATTTCTGACATCAAAGATGCATGAAGGTTTTCATCAGGGGGATTTCTCTGGTTATATTTGTCTGCATTTTCAGTGCTGGACACCTCAGAACAAAATGTGGTCTCAAGGGAGGCTGGAGTACACGATTCCTCTGAAGTGGATTGGGTTTCCCCTCCTGGGGATGTCAGGCTGGTACAGGCTTCCTCTGGACTCTCGGAAGAGAAGGAAGTTTCAGAGATGCAAGCATTTTCAGAAAGCTGTTCGTCAGGCTCACTCTGTAGCTCCATATCTACGGCAATTCCTTCACCGGGAAATTGGCCTTCTAAAGAAGATGACCCTGTTTTTATTTTTGGAGTATTGATCTCTACTGCAGCTTCTGGCTCCTTATATTCTGTGTCACTGGCATGAGTCACAGATGAAGCAGAAGGAATGAGAGAGTCACAGACTTCTAGTTGATCAATAACAACAGACATTTCTTCCTGGGGAGACTCTGGTTTCTCTTCCACTTTAACTTCAATGTGAGGCAAAGTTTCTAAAACCTCATTCATCATAACACAGGATTCCAAGTTATCTTCGGGAGGTGCTACTTGGGGCTCTTCGTGAGAGTTGGCTGGACTTTCAGACCCCTCAGAAAATTCAGGTATCGTCTTATGATTTTCATCCTGACATTCGCAGATACTAGTCTCTACCTCTTCAGCAATTTCCTCCTGAATCACAGATTCTTCAGGGATCAAGATATCTTCTGATTCTGATTCTGCCATTACATCTTTACCTACATCTACCATAGCACAGAAATCCGGCTCTGGTGAAGTTGGACTTTTCATGCTTTTTCGCTGCTGCTCTTCCAAGGGAGTCTGTGCAGAAAGGCCTGGGAGGCCAGTGGTTCCGGTTCCACATGAAGAACTACTCTCAGCTCCATCACTGTTTGGTCCAGAAGTAAGCTTTATTGAGTCCTCTCTTGACATGCCCAACCTGAACAGAAATTAGAAATATTAAATTACTGTTCAACCACAAAATACAAAAGGTACAACTTGGAGATGTATATTATTCATGGAAATGAATGAATCAAATTAATTTTATAATCACTAAATAACATGCTTCATTTATGTAAAATAGTTTATGATGATATGATGACTTAGTTTTCTGGTGCTTTTGTAATCATAACTAAAATAAAGTCTACTTCTGGGTAAGAAAGGTATAGATTTTTATATTTATTTATTTATCAACTTATGTACTTATTTTTGGTATGGATTTTTATTCTGTAAGCAACGGGATATGAATTTTTCCAAGTGTTGGTAAAGGAATATAAAATTATGTACTATAAAAGATTAGAAAATATGGGCAGAAAAGCAAAAGAATGTGTAAGATCTAAATTTTTTTAATCAGAAAGTAGCAATTATAATAGAAATCTGCACAGTCTTCAAAAGATGCAGCATAAGCAAATAAGATCAATGGAAGATGGATATGGTGTAAAATCCTGAAACTGAAATAACTTCCTTTGGAAAAAGATTAACTTCTCTCAAACCAATGTAAGAGGCATTACCTTATTTTAGTCTCTAAGTGTCTAACATAAAACAATATGGAAATTTCACTAAAAATGTAACAAACATATTTGGGGTCAACAAAGTTGATTCTACTAAGTTACATCGGTTTGAGGCAAGGCTTTAAAATTCTTTTTTGTGATCGCTTACTCTAAAGATATTCCAGAAAAAAAAGCAAAGGGTATCAAGAAATAATCCAATCTAATATTCATGTCCTAAGGGAAGTTCATCAGAATTACAAAGATATTATTGTAAATCACTACCTCCTGTCAGACTAAGTTACAATGTCAGCATCACATGGTAGAGAAATATGCTGTTCTAAATGGAGTTAAATTAGAGAACAGACAATTACAAAGATAAACAGAAGACAGACTTCTCTCTTCTGGAGAAAACAAATTTGAGTGCAGAAATACAGCTATAATAGTATCGAGGCAGAAAAATATCTCAGTGAAATCTTCTTCAACATCTTACTTAAATCCTCAAAATGAAAGGGAAATAAAGTTGAATACATTTTTTGGTGGTGTCACTGCCTTTTTTGCCAAAATTCAGAAGGCTCTTAAAAAGAAGACAGAAGATACTACCCTAATAATTAAGTCTCTCTTCTTTCAATTTTCACTAAGATGGCCTCAATGTAAGCTATAACTTATAACTATCCTACACTGAGAGGAACAGAAGAACTACATTACAGATGAATTCAAAGCAGAATAATCAACTAGGAATAAGGTCCCTTGGGGCTAAGCCAAGCACCGATACCAGGTTAGGTGTAGAATATACGGTATGTATCCACTGGTAGCCAAATTTCTGCTAGTTGGTTAGTAAGTATATAATACATATATTAATTTATATTAAATGTTTAATATTATTAAAGATCATATATGCATATAATAAATGTATATATGGAAAACAGCACTGTATAAAATATGCCGGTGTCAACATTTTATTATTTTCTCGAGAAAATAGATTTAAGATAGTATAAGGCACAGAAGCTTGATTTTCATAGCACATCACATAACACCAGAAAGGAAAACATTAAAGTCCAGAAATGTAGACTGCAAATAACAGGCCAACTACCATAATTCTGATTTAGCATATATATGGCTGATCTCTAACTAAAGCAAATATAGAACAGTCCTATGTTATTAGGAGAGTAAGTCAATAAGAATCATAATAAAGAGCTCAAACAAAGAGTTGAAAACTACAGTAGACAAATCTTAACTAGTGGGGAGTTTGGTTCAACATTCCTGGGAAAACTTAAGTGAAAAGGCACATGTCAACTGAAAATCATCTGACACTAGGAGAAATAATCCCTCACAGGCTGGGGGAGTGCAGGTAATCTAGAAGTAACCAAATCAGAAGGGTGGTCAATGAAATGTCCAAAATACATCTGTTATTCTATGTGTAATCAAAGACAGGAAAAGACAAGGAAGAAGTTCAGTGATGTGAGAGGACAGAAACTCTATGGATAAACTGCAGCAAGAAAAGGGTCAAGTAAAAGAACTGTTTGAATATTCAGAACTCCGGGACAATGACATGCTTACTTACACTATTTTGGCTGTCACTCCCATATGCATGGGAGTCTGGAAGCCCCCCAAATTTTATGTAAAAAAATTATGTGTGAATTTTTCTGAGAAGGAATTGCAGCATTAAGACACTGAGCAAATTACTGAACCACACCTTGTAAGCCTGGGAAAATTAATTCCATTGTGTCTCAGTTTCCTAAACCCTTTTTTTTAAACATAAGAATAGTAAAGGTATCCACCTTATAGGACTTTTGGGCAGGTTAAGCGAAATAATACCTGCAAAGCTCTTAGAAACACATTAAAGCCGAGTATGCTCAAAGACGACTTGCATGGAGAGCTCTCTGTAACACCTGGTCTCTAGGGACAGGCCTCCTGAGGGCAGAAACCTAGGCAGCACTACACATGGCTGCCCTTCTGGCATGCAGTGTTGGGCACAGATGAGACGTTGGGTCAATTTTGCTGATTTGAAAAAAAAAAAAGCAAAAAACAGAGGGCCCGACACTCAACAACAACTAAGGACCAATGCTTAGGAGGTAACCGGCTCAGGTATCTTTTGCCAGCACTGAAAAGGGTGCTCTCAACATTGCCTTTGTCAGACAAAAGATGAGGAGGCCTCCTGAGTGGTCTCCAATGTCATCTTCCAGGGTCCTTAACCCTGCCAGGCAGCAGCATGATCTGGAGAGCATCTAAAGATACATGTTCCTGGGCTCGGCCCCTAGAGATTCCCAGTCGGTTTGTCTGGAATGGGTCCTGGAAAACTGTATCTATTTTTAAAAGCTCCAATGAGGGGGAACCTGGGTGGCTCAGTCAGTTAAACGTCCAACTCTCGATTTTGGCTCAGGTCATGAGCTCACAGTTTGTGAAATCGAAACCTACTTCACGCTGATAGCAGGGAGTCTGCTTGAGGTTCTTCCCTCTCTTTGCCCCTCCCCTGTGCACATGCGTATGCGTTCTCTCTGCCCACCCCCCCCCCCCCAAAATAAACATAACAGAGCCTGGGTGGCTCAGTTGGTTAAGCGTCCGACTTCAGCTCAGGTCATGAGCTCACAGTTTGTGGGTTTGAGCCCTGCGTCGGGCTCTATGCTGACAGCTAGCTCAGAGCCTGGAGCCTGCTTTGGATTCTGTGTCTCTCTCTCCCTGACCCTCCCCTGCTCACACTCTCTCTGTCTCTCAAAAATAAACACAAAACATTAAAAAAAAATTTTTTTTAATCAAAATAAACATAACACAACACAACACAGCATAACACAACACAACACCTCCAATGAGGATTTCGATGTAGCCAGGCTTGAGTAATATGCTGGTGACAATATATGAAGGCATATAAGTAGCCTGCTGCATTTTTAATTTTTGAGAAAACACGTGAATTATCTCCTGTTCATTCTGTTTAAATATGTATGTGCATCCATGGTCCTAGGATAGCAACTGAACACAAGCCTTCCTACTTGGGAGTACTGCTAGTTAGGACACTCCACCAAATGCTAGCCTACTCTGAGTAAGCAGGCTGTTAATCATGGTTCCTCTTCAAGAAGGGTACTCATATAAGCCTCCCGACATTGTTTACCCTGTTTCCAGGGGGATATTTTATGAAATTAGATCAAATGGTACAGATTCTGTTACCTGCCACCACCTTAGTATCATTTACACAAAACAACAACTCTTAAGCATTAGTTGTGCATGTGGGAGTTCAAGCACAAATTCCTCTCTAAGGAGGATCTAAAGTCACTGTCAGCTCCTAAATCCTCCCTCCTTCCTTAGGGACCCTATGGTCTCTGAGGCTCTAATTCTGCTCCAGTAGCATATGTCCTGTCCCTTCTAAATGAGGCAAAGGCAAAACTGCTTTCAATTTAATTCAGTCACTACCGCACTTACGTGTGGCTGGCATTATTTTTAAAAGAAACATGCACAAAGAAAAATAATAAACTAAAAACTGATTGCACTCAAAAAGGAAGATGGATGAAAAGTAATACCTCCGGCTCTCCCCAGAACAAGGACTAAATACGTGTATATGCACAGTCAACATTTTAGGAAAAAATGTGAGAACTGAATGTGTCTAAAATTATTTATCTCTGAAGTATTTGTTAATGAATATCCGTAGATTAAAAACAGGAGAGTTTTACTAAAATCTAGTTAAGGAAGCCATAACGGACTTCTATCAGATTTCATGTGCTATTTTCAGTCCAAAATGAATTTTCATGGACAGGTTATAAACCCTTGAAAATGCATTTTTTAAAACTTTAAGTGCTGATATGCCACTATAATTTTACCTGCGATTTCTTACGCTGAGGGACTATTGCCTTTTATGGCAGCCTTATTAAGCTTTACAGCATATGCGTGCACTGTGTGAAGCAGAGAATTACACTTTCATTTCCTTCAGAGAGAAATGAGGAAAAAAAATGTTCTAGTACTTACTTTTCTCCATAAAACCTTTCAAAGAATTTTTCTTTCCAAGGTTCTGTTTTCTTTTCCTTCTCAATTTCTTGCCTTATCCGCAACTGCATTTCTGGAGTAAACTCTCCTAGAAAGAAAATGTTTATGTGTGGAGTAAGAGTGGCCACAGCTTCTGCCAATTAATAAAGAAAACATGTACTTAATTTGAGTAAACTTTTATGGATGTTGAAAAGTAAAAGGTTGAGTAGTGATAATATTTCCATAGCTTCTCTTTTTATGAACATCGCTCCAACAGTCATTTAGCCGTAGATGAACTTTAAAACCCTCAGCAAATACACTGTATGGTAAGGGCTGCACATGAAATAGCGTATATTCAGTGCCCTTAATGAAATCAGTCTGGTGGGAGAAAAGGCACACAAATTGACTATAATATAATGTCGAAAGCCCTGTATGGCCCGTAAGAATAAAGGTAGTGAAAGTACAGAAGAAAAGGCACTTAATTCTGCCTGAATTGATTAGGGAAGACCACATACAGGAAATGGCTCCTGAGTTAGCTTTTGAAGGATGACCAAGCTTTTATAAAGTAATTAACTCACAAGGCACAGAGATATGAACATGTATATTTATGTTCTTTTGAGTGGCCAATTGTGAGCCGAATGTGGGAGTAGGATGAAATGAAATGCGAAAGGTAGGCTGAGGCCAATTAGCAAAAACATGGTGAGAGTTCTACATTCTCCCTACAAGAGACAGAGAGTTCCTGATGGCATTCACTCAGGGAGGAATATGGCCAAGTAAGTGGCTTAGAAACAAGATGAAGACACAGGAGGACTCCAGACAGGAGGCTGTCGAACAACACAGATGAGAGACGGAGAGGACAGTCAGGCCAGCAGCTGTGGGAATGTTCAAGGGGATTCAGATTCACAGCACAATTAACACTTCATCACCGAGTCCGAGTCGGCCTGGGGAGAAGGAAGAGGACCAAAGAGATCATCAAGTTTCATGGTGAGGAGCTCTGAGGACAGTGATGACATTAATAGAGACGGGGGACAAAAGAGATAGCAGATAGTAAAGGGAAGACAGTGAGGTTAATATTGGCATTATGGTTTTAAGGTGCCTGATATCAGCTAGAGTGAGCTGGCAGGCATGTGGACTACAACACAGGATTAAGAGAGAGGAGCCATAAGGCAGAAGCATGTGGGCCATACACCAAGGTGGTGAAGGAGGCCGGTTATTGAATGTGCACAGCTACAAGAGAAAATACCAGAGAAGAAAATAGCAGAGACATTGATACATATCATCAGATGGAAGGACTCAAGCTCCCAAAGGAGGCTGAGGAATGGCTTCCAGCAACATGGCCATCAGAAACAATTTAAAATATATTATGAACGTCAAAGGTAAATGGTTTCAACTTGGATGAGGTAAAAAAAAAAAAAAAAAAAGAGAGAGAGACAGAGAGAGAGAGACATTGCAGAAGGAACATGAAATGTCAGGACTTAAAAAGAGAAGGACACTGCCTTTGCCCTTAGAAAGCCCTTAGTATTCTCCACGAGGGATTATTCTGGTTGTGTACAGCAGGGCCACACCCAACTAAAACAATGTGAGCGGGAAGGGAGTAGAAATGTGGCAGCTTTGGTTATTTTGAGTCTTTTGAGAAGTTTAATGACTAACAGAAGAATAAGCTGAAGTGGTGGCTTTAGAGGAAGAAAGTATTAAAAGAAGATTCTTTAAGCTCCAGGATGTTAAGAGAATACATGAAGCCTCAAAAAAGTGATTAAAATTCCCATTCCAAAGAGGGTCTAGCTATATCAAAAAATTGTATTCTGTTCTAGATAACCTCACATTTCTTTAAAAAATATCAGACATCAAAAATGCCAAGTATAACAAAGAATTAGAGAAGCCATTTGGGACAGATTGGGAGTTTTTACTATTTTCAAGTGTACTTCAGGGGGAGAAAAAGTCTCAAGAAATTAGAGAAAGGTACGAAGCTGGTACAGTGTGTGTACTGAAACACGTCAAATAATAATGGAAAAGAGAAATTTACCTTCGGCCAGTCGCTGTTTCCATCCTTGTGCTGCATATGCAAAGAATTCATTATTCAGAGCTGAAGAACTGAGGCGTAAAATTCCATCGCTTCCCATCTAGGAAATAAGCCGACAAAAACAAGATGCCATCAAGAATAACTCAAAGCAAAAGTACACAGGAAAGAAGAGAAAACTGAGGGTGAGGGTGTGAGAGAAATAGTGTGGGGTAGAAGGGAGGACAGGAAGCTAGAAGAAGGTAGGAAAAGTGTACACCACATTGACTATTACAATGACAAAAATACATGAATTTAAAGGAAATCTTTATAAGGGCATTTCCATTAGAGATGGTGAGTATAACCACTGATCCTGGTGTGTGGGATTTCATTGGTTTTATACCTTTATCATTTTAATATGCCTTACATGATACCACATTAAAAATCAACATGTTTATACCTTAGATTGAGTTTATCATTTAAGTTTTCTAAAATTTGTGGAAGCTAAAGAAATCCAATCTGGTCACTTGGGCTCTTTTGCCAGCTAAAGTTTAGACAACAAAAATTTCTAAAACGTTAAAACAAATACACCCAACACTGTCATATATACTCCACCCCACTCTTCTCTCCAATTGGGACACACACAAAAGACATGTAAAGTGTAAACCATGGGCAACGATATGCAACTAACCTATTTCCTCAACATACTAATTTTTTAAAACTCACATGTAGAAGCGATTCAGATAAGCATCATCAAACTGGATGTATTTTCCTTTCCAGTTATTCACTGCACCTTCAGTGTGTGTGTAGTCTGCTTGCTGACATAGGGGATAAGAGAATCGGTGTTGTCCTTGACTGGCCGCTCAAGTGGTTGAGGAGTGAAGATGAAACAGTGTTAAGCATTAGGTAGGTGGGAATTAAGAAGGGCTAACAATAAATGTTGAGGGATGATATCTAGGTGGACAAGAACTTGATGCCAGACGCAAAGCTGGTACAGAGTCTTGCAAGATAGGATCCAAACAGGATGGTTTTAGAGACAGAGCATGTAGCATACTGTCAGCATGACCAAGAGCTTTACTGCAGAGCCAGGACATCATCACACACAACCAGTAACTGGACCATGTAAGAAGGTGCGGAGGCTTTAGCCTGCCGGTCAAAGGCCTGGTAAACTGGAGCTCCAATTACATTGTCAAAGACTGCCTCTTATCCCCATAGGCACACTTCATTGGTATTGAAGCCCCAGGTGTCACTACCTGAAAACACGCCCAGCGATTTCTCATCCTCATGTTGGTGTGTTTGAGGCCTTTTCCACACTCCATGTTCGCCACTGAAATACTACCTCTCTTTTAAAATTTCTCTCAAATAATGCCTTCATGAATATGTCAGATGAACCATCATTCAGGCAACGGAGAACACTAAATCTAAAAATAAATAGTATATAACTACTCTAAATTGGATAATGGTAGATCAAATTCAGAAGAGAGACACTGAATAAACATGAGGGATACTGAATGGTGCCATCATGGCATCCGCAGGGACCCGCAGAGTTGACATTCTGAGTTTCTTCATCGAAGAAGACACTGGTAACCATGCGAAAGTATTCAATACATTTTGAAAATCTCAGGGAAGACTTCATTCATTCATTGAACCATTGTTTACTTACTCACAGCTATTTCATCTTTATTCAACACTTAATTAAGCCACTCATATGAACCCATGTACCTGGCTCTTGTATACAGTGGCAACAAAGAAAAAGCCCATGCCTGTATACTGAATATGTTTTACATATAGCTGATGCTTTGCGTCCCTGTATCTCTCTTCCTCCTGCCTAAGTTCAGTGTGGCTGTAATACAGTTATATCACCAAGCCAGTATCCCTCTCAGTGTCCTCCCACAGCCCCAAGATCTGAATGGGTAAGTGACCCAGGCTTCTCGTCTTCTGACTGGACAATTGTAGGACTCTATCCTCTGGAATGCAGTATATGCACTGAACTGATGGACACCATTTAGTATTGTGACCCCAGCAGCTGGACTACATGGGCCTGGGAACTGCGGGGTGGAATGAACAAAGCTTTGTACTATCCCTCTCAGGAAACCACTGGCAGACTGTACTTTCTGTCCCCCCAGTTCTAGATCAGGTGAGATTAAAAGCCCACGCTCCTGTGGGAGAATCATTCCTACTATGTCAGGGTTTCTCAGCCTTGGTACTACCATCATGTAGGTTTAGACTTCTTTATTATGGCAGCTGTCCTGTGTGTTATAGGCTGGTGAGCAGCATCCTTGGCCTCTACCCACCAGATACCAGCAGCAACTGTGACAAGTTTCAGTGTCTTCAAATATTACTCTATGTCCCTTAGAGGCAAACTCATCCCCAGTTAAGAATCATCACACTATTGGACACGGGCTCCACATTAGCCAAAGCTATGCCTGATTACTTTGTGTCTCTCATGGATCAGCAGGCAAGGTGAGGACTTACTGGACAGGGGGGATAATCCCAAGGGAGGGGGCTGCTGCCGTAGTGTGGAGGCAGAGAAAAGGATGTAGGGAATGCTGGAGAGTCCCTGGGACACCTGTTGGTGCTTCTGTGTCTGGTGGTAACAGTGAACATGGATTACAGCGAGGACAGCCAGAAAGGGAAAGGCAGCCAAAGGCTCAGACTTCTCAAGGATGGCAGTTTGGGCCACTTCACCGGGAAAACTAGCAGAATTACAAGTTGAGTGTCAGGAAATTCAGAAATGAGTGTCAGAAAAGGGAAATGACAAACGTCAATTACAGCCTTAAGACCAGCTTGAGACCAGTGGGGCCTGCAGCTGGTCCACTAACTCCCTGGTCAAAAGTCTTATTCTTCCCTCCCCTGCCCCCGCAAAGTATGACTAGCCACTCGTTAAAGTGAGAGAGTGAACTTAACACAAAGCACAAGGTCTGAGTGGTGCAGAGGTAGACGGGAGGGGACATTTGTGATTCTACATCTAGCCTACACGAGTACAGAGCATCTGGGACAACAAAGTACACTTGCTCTGCCCAAGCCTACAAAATTCTAAGACTTTCTCAGACACAGATGCAACCTGCGAATGCAGAGCTTGGCCCTGGGGGCAACTCACAGTCTATGGGAGACAAGGGTTTGTCATGGTAAAAGGCCCTGCTTTCCTGCTGTGCTGGGACAGTTTTGGGACTCCGTCTACATATTTTCCTAGAAAGTCCTTCATAGAACTGAGACCTGGTTATTTGGAGGGATTTCCTCTTCTCGTCTTCAGATTATCTAATCCCTGGCTTCTGCTTCCAGACTTAAATTCTTGTTCCAGACTCCACTTTTAGAGGGAAGGGGCAGGGGAGGATCCTAAATCTAAGAGGGTCTGGGCTTTATCCTCTATGTGGGAAAGGTCCAGCGAATGTACCATACAAGGGAAACCTGAGCCTTGAGGCAGGGCTTGAATCAGCAGGGTGCCTTAGACTAGTGGCCTCCAGATCCAGGTTTGCTCCTTGACTTACCACTCTGTGTTAACTACCTTTTCATTGTGTGCCACAATGGGAGAAAGGCCTGAAGCACTGTTCTAGGTAATGAGAACTACCATTAAAAAGGTCTAAGCCTGGGAAATATCCCAAAAGATGTGTGTTTAAAATAATTCCATTACCTTTAAAAAGGATGGAATGGAGAGGAATGGAGAGATACAAAGGCATTGCCAGCAGGTAATGGAACCCTTCCCTAAAACTTAATAAAAGAAAGGCAAATGTGAGATATTCAGGACTGGGTGGAGGGCTTTAGGACTGAGGAGGTAAAGGCATTGGAAGAGCATTTCAGCAGATGCCCAACAGGGTCACTATGCTTCCTGGAGATGGGGCGGATGAAAAGGCAGCCAAGCCTCAGTACAAGTCTTCAAGCAGTGCTATGATGGAAGTCCGGCAAAGCCCAAAGGATGAAGAGAAGGTCCCTGTGAATGATACCTCTAAGAATTCTGAAATTTTCTGCAAACACTGACTTTGAATGTCTGTGGTTTGGGAGCCTCGAGGAAAAACAACTTCTCTCGGGAAGACTGAAAGGGAAGAGGTATTCTTATTGTGTAGATTTTAAATAGCACTAGTAAGTGGAAGGCAAGTTCCCCGAAGAGGTAAAGAAATTTACTTGCTATGAAGTGCATTTATAGAAGGTACAATGAATAGGCTGGAATTTTTCTGTATTTGAGGACATGCAGGCTGCCTCATCATCTTCTATACCCCGTGCAATGCCTAGTTGCCTATATGGAAGGCACGCAAATAAATGTTTACTGCTGCCCTTGCTCTGTGTAATGAAAGATTTAAAATTTAACTCCACTAGCTGATGTGCAGGATTTAGTTGTATTTCCCAGGCCAAGGGCATGATTAGTTACTAATCGAAATTTCAGCATAATTTTTAGACCCAAAGAAACACAAGATCCCGATGAGCTCTGACAGAGTCTTAAGATTTCCGTGCCTGAAGATGTGAGGCGGTGTGAAATAAACACATTCAAAAATATGGAAGCTAGCCTTGAAGGAAAATGTTTTTCTTTTAAAACAGAAAAATAATATTAACTGCCAGACTTCCAGCCTGTATAAGACAGCACAATTAAACACTAGGGCTAAATTGGACCTAGGAAATACAAGCCAATAAAACTTTTAAAATACACTATTAATTTTACGGCCTTTAAGAAATACTGTCCAAAAGACATAACATTTTAATGAGCTGGAACAATAAACATTTCTGAAAGGTTTATTTATTTATTTATTTATTTATTGCTGAGCTATAAATTCTTGTTTTTCAGATTACCCACACCAGAAATGTTCATTCTAAAAACTCCCTCAACCCCCTCATAATGAAGTGTCTAACTAAGCTACTGATAAACTATGCTTCCTTTTTAATTAGGAGGACAAAAACTCCGAACATTTTAGTTGTTACAGAGGAAAATAAATGTGAGTAAAGGGAAACACATTCATGCAGAGATCATTTCACAAAGGTTTAAACTTCTTATTGTGAGTGTTCATTTGCCTTTGATATTGATTTTCATAACGTCCATTTTGAGGGGTGGACATCAGCGGAATTCAAAGGGTTAAAATGCCAATGCTACCTGTGCAACATCCAGTTTTTGAAGTTTGACCAATTTTAATTCTGTAC